CCCCCCCCCCCCCACAAGCAGGTTAATAATGAGTCCATGTACATACCCATAACATACCCTCAATATGAGGAGAAGGGCTTTAAATGCTTGCACTTTTCTTCTCTTCAAAGCACCAACCGTATTTGTACTACCCTTGCACTTTTTAGAAGTACCCACAAATGAGTTTGAACTTGATTTGACTAGAATGCCTTTTTGTTTTTTCAACGGAGGCCTCGCTCTGGTTGTTAAAATGCTGTTCGGGTTACAGGAGCAGATCTGTCGCGTTTCACGGTTTTGCTCGGACCTCAAATGTACGCAACCGTCTCCGTGTCTCACATTAGAGCACCGTAAACGGTAACGTTACAGTTACACCAGCAGGCTAGCCCGTGTCTGTCCTCTACCCTCGGCGTTGCCCGTCGACAGAAACAGCACGCAGTTGTCTCTGAACTACCAGCACCCGGAACATTTTCCCCCTACAAAGCAAGAGCTGACGTTAATGTCCTCTCCCGAGCCTGTTGTCGGTCAGTAAGTTTACCGCTTCAACTTGGATGTCTTCATACTGGATGTCTTCAAACAGACAGCCGGCTGGAGTCTCCACCATGACAGCAGCAGCAGAGCGGCGACAGTCCTCAGCGCGAGCCGGCGATGCCGGAGTTCAAAAACCGAAGCTCGTCTTGTGGTTATCGGGATAAAAAAACGAGACGTTTGTTGGCTCCTGTTGCTGAGAATACAGGAAGTGGGCATCAGCAGCTCGCGGTAGCGTCGTTGCCTAATGAATCATCTGTGGGCCGGGTGCTCGTGAACGTCCCACCGCATAGAGAGGGGAAGACAATGAGCGTAGACGGAGCGTTTCTGACACTCTAAACCGTAGTTGTATTGATTTCAGACTACCGATCATGTTGCATTTCAGCTCTGTGACCCGCGGTTTAAATTATTCTTTTTAAAAAGAGATAGAAGGTTTTGTCATCAAAGCACCCAGTTCCAGTTGAAGCGCAGTCTTGAATGCAGCTTTGTTTTGTTTCTGCCTGCACGAGAGCCTCCACAAGGAGCGGCAAACAATATTTCCACAGCTAATAAACACACACACACACGTTTGCCTTCTTACATACTCTTAAACCTTGTATTTATTAACCTTTAATTACTAATTTCCGAGTGAACATCCAGCATTATTCTGCCGCTTCCATCTTGAAGAAGCAGTGTGGGGCGGGGCTTATACAGCTACTTCATCACCGTGTTTGGTTCAGTTGAAACTTGTTTAGGTTCAGTTGAGTCCATGCTGATTTAGTTCAGAAGTCAGGTCCAAACCAAACACGCAGCTGCATATTAAACAGCTTCCGGTTTAGTCGAACTGTTCTGCAGTTCAGCAGCAGCCCCAAATGTCTTCTCTCTCTGCTCTCTGTAGTGTGTGTGTGTGTGTGTGTGTGTATATATAGTGCTGGGCAAATTTTTAATCGCGTTTAATCGCATTGTTATGCGCAAAGTTGAATAATGAATTAAAAAGTAGTGTATTGAGCACTTTTATTTTAAAAGTAGGCTACTGCTATATGAACAAAAGTGCAATAACATTTGGTTTGCAAACACTTTAAACAAATCAGGTTATTTTTAACAGCAGTATTCCCTTTACACAGTAGCAGTTAAATACAGTTATAATGATTTTGATAATAGATATTCAGCCGGTGTTCACAACTTTATCTTCATGTGTGTAATAAATGCAATTTGAAATATGCTTCTTGAAAACTGCAAACCTATCTACGTCATGTTTTTATGTTTGTTAAATTCTCAGTAGCGATAACTAAATGATATGCTTATTATACATATTCCAAACAAAAAACACTTTAAAAACTCTAAAAATAATAATATAAATGAATCATTTCTTTTTTGCTTTTTTTTGGTATTTTGGTCAGACACGCTGATTACCGTAATATGTGTGGTATTTGTTATGTATGTTGGTACATAGAAGGTGATAAGAAGCTTTACCTGGCGGGACTTAGGACCCAGGGGAATGTAGGTGACGCATGGAACCTGCCGTGGCAGTAACCTGCATGATGAAGTTGTGCTAATAAAGAGTTGTAGTTAAGAACAGTTTGTTCTCACGTGCTTATATGTTTATTTAAAAACACGACAATATGTGTTTTGATATTGTCACGTTTGATTCTGTGACGAGACGATCGCGCGCGTGTGTGTGTGTGAGACAGCAGGGACCGATGGTTCTGGATCTGGCGTGCCACCCGGTGGGTGGGAGAGCGGCAGCAGGAGGAAGAGACGCCACACAAACACAGCGGTGAACTCGCTGCCCGGTTCTTGTGTTAAAAATGTCCACTTAATGATAAAAAAAAAAAAAACTGCATTAACGCGCAATAATATAATTGTCGGCATAGTTAATGAATACGTTAACTCGATAATAACGCGTTAACTTGCCCAGCACTAATATATACAGTATGCTACAGTACAATATGCACTGTAATGTATCACAGAACATAAACATCAGCTTCAGTATATTTTATTTCAGGGTAGCATTGACAGTTTTACAGTATTATTATTTTTAACCCCCCTGTTCTACCACTTCAATTTAAATCTGTTAAGTCACCTACAATTCTTAAAAAAAAGAACATGACAAAGAAGAAAAACACATTGTAGATATATTGTTATTCCCACTTTTACCGACATTCAAAATGTCACAACATTTTGAATAGACAGAATTAGCATTATATTTTTTTAATTACATGAACTCAAGGAGTCCGAATAATCTAGAACAATACAAAACTAGTTTTGGACTGACTTGGAAACATTCATTCCTCAGGAAGATGCATCTTGAACCTCTGAGGTCTCTGACTAGAAATGTCACGTTGTTATGTAAATAGTCCCAGATAAAGGAACATTTGTGTTGAGTGCCAGTTTCAACTAAAGAGGCCATTCAACTAAAAGGCCACATTCTCAACAGACAGAGTTGGATACCGGCAGTCTTAAAGATGGATCAGTGGAACACCATCTACACACCTAATGCTGACTTCAAATGAGTAAACAAGTTCTATATATGAGATTTTGAGCAGCAAACAACTATTTGCAAAGTAAAGATATAGTGAAGTGATGGCGTCCTGACCAGGGACTGAAGTCACACTCCTTTTGTGTTTGTTGTAATCTGAGTTTCTCTATTCTGTGTTTTTGGTAGCTGGGCCGGCCACACATGCATGTGATACATGTGAGTCCCTCCCTTTAAAATTGTTGGCCCTCACTTCATTTAAAAAGAGACTTAGGCCCTGTTCAGACCTGGCATTTACATGCGCCTTGGGTAATCCAATCACTAAGTACATCAGTTCAGACATGGCGTCTCCACATTCGTCTCAACTGACCACTTGTGATCGGATTGCACTTCCCCAGCTCTATGTGCAAATAAACATGTACATCATTTCCGTTTGCAGACCAAATGCGTTGTTTTTTAACAATGCATTTATTGTGGCTAGTCTGCCATATATTAAAATAAATACAAATCAAAACAATACAAACTGAGTCTATTCCTTGGTGTGTTCCAGGCATGGATGGATTACTGAAAGGTCCTACCGGACACAGGAACAGGGACCTAAAGTGTCGAGGGGCCGCTGGTCTTCATATACAAAATGTCACTCAATGTATGACCACAAAGAAACATAAAACGACTTCAAAGAGATGCAAAACAGCTGCAAAGAGACTCACAAGGACTATCAAACTGGGGGAAACAACCTTACAAAAAGACCGTAACAATTTAAAAGTGACACAACACAAATACAAAGAGACATCACATGGCCAATATGTTTATGCACATATATCTCTATAGTTTCTTTTTTGAATTTTTAGGTGTTGTGGACAAAGCCAGCTTATGCGATTTTCCTGTTACTTTCTTTTTTGGGAGCATCAGGATGCATATACACTACAAAAGATATGTAGTCAAACACCAGACCTCCTTGGCAAGCGGTTTGAGTGGTTGGTGGTTGTTTACGCCTGGATTTAGAACTGTCAACTTGTGATCCAATCACCCAATCTAAAAAAGTATAAAGGGTGCAAGAGAGTGACCCCCCACGCAGCAGAGAGTAGTTCAAAGCGTTACACTTTAGCTGCCTAAAGCATATTTCCCATTATGTTTTAGGTAGCTAGCTAGCAAGCTAATAATTATATTACAAGGATTTAGGTCACTCGGCAGATTGAAGAAATATCTCCTCACCAAGCTGAATACATTGCTAATGTTACTAAAATAACTCCATACTGTAAAAAGATATATATTCCAACCAGGTGTGGCTGATGCACCCATTTCTTTTAGTCCAAGAAGCTGGTTCTCTAGTGCAACATCTAGTGGTTCTAAATGTCCTATACAGAACCTTTCTAGAGTTCTCAGAATGGACCCAGGTGACTTCTGTTCAAACTCAAACCCAGGACATTGTTAAAATAAGCAGCAACAAAAATTCACAAAATTTGATCTGTAGCCAAATGAACACACTCATTTCCCAGCTTTTTCACCAATGCACCTCAAACCCACCAAACAGGCATTTATATAATATTGTTACAAAAATATCAAGGCTGCATCAACTTTGGAGCGATTGAAAGTAGAAGATCCGAAAGACAGATGTCAATGCAATTGATTGCAATTGTTTGAATTTTAATTTGACATATATGCATGCATTTCTTGTTAAAAAAAACTTTGCAACACCTTAATAAATGAAGGTTGATCGCTATCATGGTCCTTCAGTCTTCCCCTGTCCCAGTGGATTATGACCCAACACGCTGGCCAGTTATTGCTTATTCGCTTTCTGAACACGTTTCATAAATACGTTTCATATCAGCCTCGTATCATGCTTGCAGACATGGTTAAACAATTGGGAAACAATTCTATAGATTTAGCCAACAAAACTACTTGGCTAAGGTTTGAAAAAAGAGCATGGTTTGTGTTCAAATCGTAACGCAATGACACAACAACGTACCCGCACATCGTATCGTAAAAAGCTAAGAAGCGTAAACAGATAACAACTGCCTTAAGTGGACTTCCTTACGTAACGTTACAACATTACATAACAAGCAAAAACTCAACATTTACTTTTGGTTGCACACCAACAGTGGTCTCCTGTGTTTGCTTTACCCATCCATCACCTGTCCTAATTCCTCTAATTCTTCTAATATAAACACTTCATCATTTCACCCATATTACATTTACTATTGTATATCTACCCGTATCAAGTGATAATACTGATCCTTGGTCAGAGAAGAACAATCATCATTATCCATTTTAAAGGAATGCAATCCACCCAAAATAGTTTTGTTCGAATTAATTGTAAATATTAACAATGAATACATCAACTTTATAAATGCAACTATTACATGATATAATTGTAGATATTTACAAACTGGCATTAAAAAAAATGGACGGAGTAACACTTTACAGAAAGGAAACTGTCAGAACTTTATTGTTGACAGTTACTAAATCATCCATTTTCAAAATTTAGTATGAATATTACATTGATCAGTGAATGTTTTAGAGGATGAACTGACGGATTTTCTTAAGTTAACAATTCTAATGGAATTCACAAACCAGAGTTGTGCAAACTTGAGCAAATATACAAGGATATAATTATCGTACTATAATGACTCACATATTCGATCTGAGAACATGTGTCTTTTTGTTACTTTTTGCTTCAGGTCCATACATTCAGATACATTCATTACTGGACATCAGATACATCGTCACAGAGTGTAATTGTAGTTTCAGACAGCTTAAGTGTCTGCTGTTGTCGGCAGCGACACCATACATTCAGAGGTCACACCGAGTCCTCCTGCTGGTTCAGTTCTGTCACGGGTCTCTCCCGGCCGCCGTCAAACAAGTTATGTCTCCGCTGTTTTCTACGGTTCATTTTGGACATGTCCATTTCGAACACCTCTCCGGAGCGCAGAGCGGACACCAAGTCATCAAACTCACCGCCCCCCTCTTCCTCGTTTGCTTTGGCCTTCTTCGCCTTCTGCTCCCTGTCTCTCTTCAGCTGGACGAGAGGAGAGAGAGGTCAGGACAGGAGAGGACAGATGGACATACTGTACGTTGATCTATGACTGAGGTGATCATCAGTATATGGACACAGGGAAAGTGGGTAGGCAATGTCAGTGACTTTTTAATTATCTAACCACTATGTTTGACACCTGGTAAAGGACAATTCAAATACATTTAGCATCCTATCAAAACTCACGACATCTCTCTCTGACAATGTCTTCTAACCTGTGTCTCCATGAGTGTCCTCTTCTCCTCCTCTTCCTTGCGTCGGGCCATCCTTTCGTTGTCCTGTTCGGCCTCTGAGAAAGCTGCGAGGAAAGTGTCGAAGATCCCAAAGAAGGTATCTGGCTGCAGGTTGGACGAGTCTTCTCCAAAGTGTCTCAGTGCCTTTACAAACTTTGACAGAAGACATGATGGTGGAAGGTGATCATTTGGTCAGTTGCTGCACTCCTGTCTGAATCTGCTTCAGGCCATTATACACCAAGTTCGTGTTTCCTCCGTTGTGTCAATCACGTTTACACAACGACTCCGAAACTTCTGTCCGGGATTAAAGTTTTTGGAACAGGCTTTTTTGCATCTGTCAAAATTGTTTGACCACTCACAGCCACCGTAAATGAAAACCTCATCATCCAAAACGGCATCTGATGAGCTGATTTACTGGGTTTCGTTTCCCAGCACAAAGCACGATAAACAAAGTAACGCAAGATTTAAAAGACAGATTGTGGCAGGAGATCACAGAACAACTTTGAATATTGCATGGTTCCAAAACAAAAGACGTAGGAAAGATTAGACGGTAGTGATTGTCCTCTAGGCAGCTTTATGATAGCTTCTTGCTAATGCCATTCATTCATTAGCCCTGTTTGGGACCGACGTACTTTATTTAGTTTTGTCTTGCATTGCAACAAATAAAATAACATGCATTGGACTCGGTGTGTGATAATTATTGGATAATGAATTAATAAAACACAAACCTGGTGTGCAGAATTCCTTCAGTATTACGACGATGTTCAAAGTCATTGAAAGCGGAGGCCGAAAACGGGACAAAATGAATGTGAATAACAACGATCTGTTTTACTCACCACTTCTTTGGCCTCGCTGAGCGACTCCTCCACCTCCGAGAAGCTGAAGGAGGCCACGGTGACGAACTGACTGACCACGGGGACAAACTTATCCACAGGACCCTGAGGGGACTGACCCCGCTGGTACTGCAGCTCCTGGAGATGAACGAACACACGGACTGATAATCACATGTTTGAATATTATCCATGCATTGCTTCTATAGATTTACAGACCATTGGGGCGATTAAACATATAGGCAAAGAACAGATTGTAAATCACTCTGAGCTCACTCACCGCCTCAACACTCTTTAGGCCAGATCTCAGACTGCCGATGTCCTTCTCCAACTCTGTCATACTGGAGAGAAAGTGCAAGAGGCGGAGGGACACATGGGAGGATGGAGATAATGAGTAACGTGACAGCTGCATATAATGAAATTAACATTTAAAAATTTTTTTGGACTTTTTGCTTCTAGGTGTAGTCGGAAATATTTCTTGGGGTGTCAACAGTTCAACAAGTCTTGTTGTCACAGTGAGGTTGCCAGGTTTGGTACCATCCCAGTGTTGCTGCACAGAGCTTGTATACTTAGTTTAAAAGGCGAGATGGTTCAGAAGCCCGCAACTGATTTCATATATATGACTAAACCATGCTGACAATATATTTAAAGGGACAGTGCGTACGATTTGGTGGCTTCTAGCGGTGAGGTTTGCAGATTGCAACCAACTGAACACCCCTCCGCTCACACCTCCTGTGGTATATTGATCACATTAAGTTATATGGTTGAAATGAGTACAAATGCTTTTTGGACCTCAGTGAACACGGTCCTTTCATAGTAACTGTAGCGCACATGCACAGTACAGACTTAAGAGTTTTCCATGGCCGAATAAAGTAACTAACACTACATGTGCGTCTGCCTCGTCAATACACCACACCTCCTTTTCCAAGACTGTGGTAACGCTGTTCACCTCGCTCAAAGGCCATGCTTACCTTAATAACTCCAGTATAGGGGCAACAGAAGTCAGATGGCCGCTGGTTAACCATGGTTTTAAACTCTGTAGCTCACATTTTACAAGTGTGTCGGAGAACTATGGTGGCCTTTAGGTAACGTAAAAACATGAAAGGCTCTCTAGAGCCAGGGTTTAGTTTGTCCATTCTGGGCTACTGTAGAAACACAGCAGTGTCAGACTCACAAAAACACAACCATTCTTAGCTTCAGGTGATAGAATGACAACATAGCTATGAATATTACATTCCATTTCTGTTCATAGATCCCCCAAGATACTGCACACTGGCCCTTTAAATTTTACTCCAATAGACTTGATTCCGCATATATTACTTCGACAATACGAGTGTTCCCGCTCGTTCTTACTTGACTTTGGCAGCCTCTGGCACATTTTGCAGCTCTTCACTGAAAGCTGCCACCTTCGGGTACTTCTTTTCCAGTACAGTGATCATGTAGTGGAGCAGAGTGACGTTTCTACAAACACACAACACATACTGTACATTCAGCAGTCAATCGTTTATCACAACTTTTCAAAGCAAACTTACAAATAGACCTTTCTCCACAGCAGACATTTGACTCGTCATTGTAGAAAAAACACAGATAAAATGAACAATCATGGCGACGCTTTCTATGACGCCGATGTTGATAATGTAATATAAACATAATGTGTTTTGATCAGCTTATAGCACTGTATGATTATAGTTATAATCCCTCATAAACATGCATAAGGCTTTAATAAACATTGTAAAGCACTTGATAATGACTCATAAAGTCAAGTATCATACTACTTCATAATTGCTGGTCACTCACTGACTTTGTTTGCAAGCCCATGTCTATAATGCATTATAAACATACTTATAATGCATATGATCTGCTTATAGTATGGTGTAATTATACAGGTAGAGTTCTTTCAGGTGTGGTCTATAATTTCGTTAGTGAAATGTAAATGTTCATCATTCAGGGGGGTCAAATTGGCATGACCTGTTGAACATTTTTCCGTTTCATGTTTTGTTCTTGATTTTTATTTAGAATTTTATTTAGAATTTTCTTAAAGTAAATAATGACGAATTACAGTGATTTATAACCAGCTTGTAATGTATCATATTATCCCATACATCAGGAATTTCATTACTTGGTTTAAAGCACCCACCAGCCACTTAGAATAATCACATTATAACACATTATAACTGTGCTTATAATGCATTATAAAAATATTCTGATGTATGACAACTATGAGAATTATAATACATATAATCCAGTGGTGGGCCGTCAGGGCCAGCTAAGCCTTCTCTGCTGGCCTAAACAGAATCACAAAGTTATAGCTATTTTATAATTTAATAATTTTTCATAAATACACTACATGTATTAGAATTTTTTTTCCCATTAGCTTATTTTCTCATTGCACAGCTGTCTGGCTGACAGCGTCGCACATTTTATGGCTGGGAATGTGTTTCATTGATGTGTTTCATTCATCTGAGCATCTTGGTGTTTGGAGCTACACTACGCTAACCTGAGGACGCCATAGAACGGCAGGGCACTACGGTGCTTTTGAAAACTTTTGGAGAAACCCGAGTGGATCTACAGATCAACGAACACGCTCGCACGGTCCGCGGAGGTGGGATCCCGGCCCCGCTGCGAACCGGCTGCCATAGACCGGCGAGATACAACTGGGGAGGCTCGACTGTCACTGGCGTCCATGACTTCTTACTGGAACCTGAACGATGTACTGGGATTAAACTCTTTGTCAACAAAGAATTCGGTAAATGACAAACTGCAGTCACGTTTTTATGAATAATATTTGATGGCTCGTGCTCTTGTGTGGTGGAATGTGTGGATCCGCTGCAGGTTTGCTGGATTGATGTGTCATGCTTTGTTGTCATATGAATATATGTGACTGGTTCTTATGACTTTGTTGTTATTGTGTTAATTACGTTGATTTGACTATGCATTGTCCGTTAATGATGCAGCGTCCCGTCACGCACGGATTCATCTATCTGCACCGTAGCTGTTCAACTGTAGTAGGACAGCACAGAAGGCCCAGGTATAAAATGCCCCCACTGATATAATCCCTGTGTCAGTGAGTGACCAGCAACTATGAAGTATTATGATACTTGATCTTAAAGTCATTATAAAATGCTTCATAATGGGTTGTGATTGGTGTTATTAAATACTATGGATATTTATGAGCACTTATATTTATGATTATACAGTGTTATAAGCAGATTATGAACAACACTAGGTTCCTGTATTATTTCCTCCTGCTGTGATGTACAAAGCCCTGCTGTGAACTGTACTTGTCAATGCTGGACTTGGTGTCAGCTATCTTGTTGAGGCTGGACACTTTAAATCCGTAGGCGTTCCCCCGTTGTCCTTTGTTCATGTAGTTCCCGAAGGCCAGGACCACCTCCAGGAGCTGCCGCAGCGTCCCGCTCTGTACCACCTCCCTGGACGCCAGACTCAGAGCTGAGACCCCAGAGACGAAGAGGCAATGTCATATATATATATATATATATATATATATATATATATATATATACAGTATATATATGTCCATGTACATTTAAAATCTATAATGGAATATCTGATATCTTAAAAAAAACATCTTACAAAACAGAATTTAAAGACACATATTAGTGACACGCAGATTCAAATGAACATAAACACTCTTTGGAAGTAGCCTACCTTTGATTTTAGGTTTGATGTCGGCCACTCTTTCAGCAAACTTCTTCTTGAAGTAGAGAGAGTGGAGTCTCTGTTGATAGTGGTTGATGCTGGGGAGGACACACATGAGACAGCAAAACATTGTCACTGGTAGCTGTTAGCAGGAGGAGGGGGAACTATATAGCTTATATATCACTATGTAAATTCCTATGTGATGAAACGCACAACTACGCATCAAAGGTCTTTGCAGATCCTACGTAGACTTTGTTTTTTAGGTAAACCCTTTAAGAGACAGTGTGTAGGATTTGGAGGCCTAGCTGTGATGTTACAGATCGCAGTTGAAACTATTTGAGTGTGCCAAGTGCGTATAGGAGAACGTGCAGTGGCAGACGTGAAAACGCGAATGTCCCTGGAGAGATAGGATTTTCAAGTAAATGTACAGTGGAAGTTACCGTTTGTGGAGAAATGAGGACTGCAGCTCCTCAAGCCCACCAACAGAGGTTTCCCATGTTTGGGTTTTTCAGCCCTGGAGACCAAAACAAGGGTGTTCCCACCCTGTGTTTCCCAACCACGGTCAGAAAGTCAATACCTGTGGGTTTTGTCCATTCTAGGCTACCGTATAAACATGGCAGTCAGCTTCGTGAAGAGGACCGGCTCCGTATGTAGAAATAAACGGCTCATTTTAAGCAAATAAAAACAAAACGATTGTTATTTCCAGGTTTTATACGAAAGAAAACATACTTATTAATATTACATTCCATTTCTGCCTATAGATCCTCCTAAATGTTACGCACTTTAAATGCATAAAGTTCCTTCTCTGGTCATTTGCAACCTGGCACTATATTACACTCTCCTCTGATTCCTTAATTTCATTCAATGAAACTCCTCCAATTGTAACAATGTTGTGCTTTCAACGATGTCAATAATTGTTAGGCCTCATGGTGGCGCTGTTGTCTCACTGTTACTGTGAATATCACAGCCACAATTTTGAAAAGAGTTTATATGAGCTCACTGTCACGGTAACGCGATGCACTGTAGGGTCTGGAAATGAAGACGAGGCTGCTGATGGTGAGGAAATAGTTTCGTGCTATGTGATGGTTTGAAAGCACAACAAGGAGCGTGAGAATGACGGAGCTACAGCTCAGACAATACCAGCTCCGAACAGGGACAAAGGTTACGACGGCGTCGACGTAGTGGTCCTGAGACAAGTTAGCTGCCTCACACCTTAGCTAGCTCAGCTGCCTCCACAGTGCTGCTGTGCTGAACGAGCAGATAGTCCAACTTGAGGAGGCCAGAAAATCTCACACTTTCCTGGGCCGAGCTTGAGTAAAGGAAAGAGCTGTCTAAAGCTGACGAATGCTCTTCGTCAAGAAACAGAGCAGCCTCAGCCGAGGGGCCCCCACAAACACTGCTGGAGGTTCCACATCTGTCCGTCGCGCTCAACCACAAAGAGCGGCGCTTTTGTGATTATTGTGCTAATTCAGGTTCGGTCGGTAGTAGATAGTGGAGTAGAAACTTGAATGTGTTTTTGTGTGTTTCTGTTATTGTAAATAATACATTCTGAACCCAACCAGAGCCCAATTAATGCGGCAATAGACAAATGTCGGTATTCAAATTATGCACAACAGTCGCTCATTGGTTATAACGTGAAGCGTTCCTGCTCAACTGAAAATAAAAGAGGCGAATGAGTGCACATATTTTTAAAAAGACTTGCAGTGAACCCAACCCGATTGAAGCTAGGGTGATTTTTGCGAAATTACATCCCGCTCCTAATAATGACACCGTGACCTTTGGTCAGTGCTGCTATGACAAACAGCTCTGGACCCGCTCTACGGTCGGGTCATGCTCGAACAGAACTAGTTATAGTTATAGTTATAGGTACAGCTGTTCCTAACGGACACACTCGAGGACAGAGTGCATTTTTTTCAGGCAGTCTCTGCTGGAAGACATATACAGGCTGGGTTGCTGCTTATGCATGTGTGTGTGTGTGTGTGTCTGTGTGTGTGTGTACCTGCTCATGTCATACAGGAAGCGGTCTGCTTTGGCCATACGTTCCAGCTCGTGCTTGTGTTCTCCCAACAGCTCCATGTCGCTCTTCTCAGGAACAAACTTCAGAAGCTTCAAACACACACACACACACACACACACACACACACACGCACGCACGCACACACGCACACACACACACACAAATGTGTAATGCATTTGATAAGTTCTTTATGTATGTATTTATCAGACACCCATGAGTCCTAAATAAATACAATTTTCTTCCATTAGAAACACGCATCACAGTGGCTTGTTCAATATTATCCGAAAATGCGTTGCTGAAATCACGGTACATGTAGTTTTATATAACAATATCAATATATGTATATTGTGTTACTTTGAGTGTATGTTTGGCACCTGCTCCAGCATGTCTCTAGGTAAGTCCTCCTGTTCGTCCATGGTCAGGACGGCACGGCGGATCTCCTCATTGGTCAGCCTCAGACTGCGACACGAACATTCACGTTACTTTTCTTATACAGGGGTTTTGAATTCAAATGAATCCCTAAAGCAATGCGTTACACGGGCATAACATGCACATGTTTGTATTGAGGCTGTATCAGAGAGGAGTTTGTTCAACTTTGAAGGATGGAGGATAATCATTCTAGGCTACACACTGACCGTGAGAGCAGAATGTTACAGTTCTGTGCTCGGCGACCATCGATCACTGACAGCTCCTTGACTTTCTTCACAACAGCCTGCTCATCCTCAGCATCCTTCTGCTGATACACAGAAAAATGATAGAATGCAACCAAATGCTGTACAATATATAATATAATCTGTAATAAGACTGGGAACTTGACAATTCATTCATGTATACTAGTATCTTAAGATAACTGTTTCAAAACATAAACAGAGCAACAAAATCTACAAAAATAAAAGACATGACCTCTTCATTAGTTCATTCGACTGAGCACGAGAAGTGTCTGTGACACAATGAACATAGTATAAAACGACAGTGCTGCTGACGGTATGACACAGATGTTATGCAGAGTCGGTGTTAGATACCTGTGGTTTCTGGTAAGCTGAGAAGGTCCTCTGCAGCTCCTCTAGATCCAGAACATTAAACACCTTGATGTCATCGATCTCTTTCCATATGGTTCCTTCTGTCTTGTTCTGAAACAAACAATATGTGTGTGTTCGTCAACAAAACATTTATTCAGGGTTCAAATAACTTCTTCTTCCAGAGATTTAAGCTGTTTACTCCAAAAGAACACCGTCAGCTGTTGTTCGTCATTCGCTGATTAAAGCATCGGATGTTATTCTAGATGTTTCTTACTGTCAATAAATCCAACAAACGAAAATACAGTGTGACTTCCCTCTATGGCCCTGAGCTCCAAGCCCATTGGTTCCCTCTGAAGACACTCACAAATACTGTATATAACACTTTCATTTTGGGCTGAACTGAAGCAAAGCAGGCACCAACGCTGACACAGACGCACTACTCTTCTGTGCCAGTAAAAAATGTTAAAGATAATAAAGTTAAAGCAAAAATGCACGCATTTGGGAAGTAGTGAGCACACAAACGGATAAATGAGACTTGGATTATACAATATATTTCAACTCATCAAGACCTTTCTCTGGTTTTAGTTTCTCCGTTCAGCTAGAAACGGTTTCTTCAAGAATTCAAGGTAACACAGGTTGAGTAACTCATATACAAATGCTCATTTTGTAGGTGAAGTATTCCTTTAAAGACATCATGTGATATTCTACTTCAGGACACTTTAAGAACAAATATTACTGGGACCACTACAGACAGCTGCAGATTTCATATCCAGGAATTCATGTTATACTCTTACCAATGGCTGTGTAACATACACGGTGCAGCCAGTCAGTAGGTTTCCACCTCGTCTAGTTTAGAAAGGTTCCTCAAACAGCTGGTCACTGTAGTTTTTATCAAACATTATTAAAAACAGGGGGGAATAGTGTCTTTTGTTGGGGACTATTTTCAGCGGTGGATTAATCCATATTTGGTGCTCTAGTGAGTATTTGAGGCAGCAGGACGATGTATATGGGATTGAGTCAAAACAAACTAGTGTGTGTGTTCATGGTAATGAAGGAACGTGTCACCCAGTGCAACAGTGTGGCTCACTGACGTGTCGTAATGGAGCTCTATAGTACAGAGGAAGAAGATACACCAGTATCAGTCGTAACCGAGGCAGCCTTAACATCTGTATGAGATGCACCAGGCTTTCAACTGACTGTAATGTAAACACATCCACGAGACTGGCGTTCGAGTCGATGTGGACTTATTTGACCATAACTGTGTTATGTAACTTACGTTGTTAAATAACGCCAGTTATTTAACAAAATGCATTTTATGTAACAAACATACTTATTTTAACTCAGACCACAGTCTTTTACTAAACCCAACCAAGTACTTTTGTTGCGTAATGAACCTAAAAACGAAGTAAAACTCCGAAACCGACCAAAAAATGTAGGGCCACTGACCAAGTGGGGCATTCGAGAGATGGGGGTGAGAACATGTTGTACTGCACAAGTAAATGCAGTTTGTGTAGTGGTATAATATAACAGCAGCAGTGACAGTATCAGTAGGAAGTGTAGCAGCAGGAACACTAGTCCCACACTGTAAGTGTACCTCAGGCAGTTTGCTCCAGTTGAATGACTTCAGAGGGTTGGATGGCTGAGGAATATTCTTCTTCTTCTGGACAGCTCCCAGTGGAGCTCCGGGTGGAGGAGGCGGGGCGAATGGAGCCATGCCAAAACTTGGCAGGCCTCCTGGAGGAGGAGGTGGTGGAGGAGGAGGAGGAGAAGAAAAAGGACTGGCCGGGACGGGACCGGGAGGGACTAAACCGCCGGAAGACACAGGAGGTCCTCCTGGAACACTGGACGTCTAACAAGACAACAGAATTGCATCCATTATGAACTGATGACCGAGACACTATCATTATGGTGACGGGATCTGACGGACACTGTGAGAAAAGGATCAGTAACATTTGTATCTGGTGGTGTTGGCGGACATACAGAGCTGAGCTGCTGCAGCCGAGCAGACAGTTCTCCCACTTGCAGCCGAGCTTGCTTGTGGTCGGTGCTCTCTCGCTCCAACTTGTCTTTCAGCTTGTTCAGCATCGCCATCATGTCCTCTTTCTCCTCGTTCTTGGCCTCGCACTCCCTCTCTTTCTTTTCAAAACGCTGCTGCAAGTTGTGATGCTCTGGAGAGAAAGTGGGACAGACAGAGACAGGTGACTTGCGGGAGGTTGTTCATTCTGCCGACTACGGTTGAGTCGATCAAAGTGTTGGCCATTCGTGCTGCATCTTGACTTATTTACCACGAGTGTTATGATTACGTGCTGGGACCTTGATGAGCCAACTTTGCAGGCTTTGTGGGTTTTGTTGATTACATAGTGAAATTAGCAAAACACTTACTAAGCACTTACCCTGTTACATCAATTTCAATCTATATTGTCTTGATATTACCCTTGTTAATACCAAGCTACCTGGTTATTACTTACATGATATTACTTAATTATTACCTCTTTATTATCAAATGATTTCCGCACTATTACCATGTTATTACTGCGCTGTAATGTAAAGTGACACCAACACAGAGATTATTGCATTGTTCATGATTATTCTTTTGTAGCCTGCAGTAATTATGAAAGAGAAATATTTTAATCAAACTGACTTGTCCGGCCAAGTCCTCCATTTCCACTGTGGTACGGTAAACAGGATTCAGAGTTCTAGTCCTCTCTACTACATGTATATAATGTATATTGTATAATGTGAGTGTTTACCTTTCCTCGTTTTGTCAGCTTGTTCTTTCCATTCTTTGACCTCGCTCTCCTTGACAAGCCTATAGACACACACGCACACACACATACAACTGAAGGAAGTTTTCCAAACATGATTTGCATCTATACTACTACTACTACTACACACTACTACACACAACATAATAGGCTTAAAATGTACCTATCAAAATGTATTTCATTAATTACTTAGAAATATAGCACCATAGAAATTAGGCTTGATATGTTTAATGATGTAAAAATAGTCACAGGCAAACAATCTATTTGTTAACTTATTTTCTTAGAAGGTCAGAGTCGGTTGTTTTGTCCAAAAGCATTCCTTATTACTATCACCCAGGAGACCAGTGTCCATGTCCCGTGTGAAACCAAAAGTCAACGTTGCCTTTTCTTGACATTGGGTAAAGCAACGTTACCTACATAGCTTTTATAAAGTACATGACATTACTATGTCCTACTTCACTTTATCTTACTTACTCAAACCCAAATCTAAATTATTTTCCTAAACCTAACTAAGTGCTTTTGTTGCCTTTAACCTAAGCAAGTGTTTTGCTGTGAAAATGGACGTTTTGTTTTTTAAAGACAGTGAGAGTGAGAACATGTTGCTTCATGACACAATTATACGTTAGATGTACTTACTCACTTCTTTTGATCAAAATTACAAAACAAAGATGTTTTTGCAAATCAAATGTTTTTATTTAGGTATTTATTTGACTTCACTACATCATCAGCAAGAGGTGGATTGCTGTATGTTTATGGTTAATTATTCAAATCACTGTTGGGTTTCTAAAATATAACAAGGCATTTCTCGGAATCATTAAGATTTTGTAGGATTACTATTAGAGCTATAATGATTACCATTCAGATTACTGAGCAACCTGTCAAAGTTTTTTGAATGTGAAACGTGTTATAAACTGAATGTTCTCCTCTTAGAGAGCACTATTCCACTGGTAGTGTTTGAATCTCATCTGTTATCGTTACTAAAAAAACTGCAGAGTTTGCTGCACTAATGCTCCCCAAAGTAAGAAACCCCAGAAACTTACATGCGTACAATATTTTTGACGTTGAAGTCCTCTAGTGGAGCGACATCGGGGTCCTCCCCTTTGTCCGTCTGCAGAACCAGCTGCTGAACTATCCGATCCAACAACACCCAGTAATGAAGAGTGGTACTGCTCTGCTTAACTGCAGACAGACAGATCATGGGTCATTTCAGGGAGATTTAAATAAATGAAAAGTAAAGAAGTGAATGGCAGGCAGACAGCCAGCCTTACATGGCATCATGAGACAGTGATGCAGTGCAGACAGGAGGTGAGGGTAAGCTTCAGTGTGGTTCAGACTCTTCTTGATCAGCTCAAACATCTGGCTGCCACTTTTAGTTTCTATATGGACCTGAGGCAGAAGACATTCATCAGCAGGCTTTACACATCTGATTTTCATGTTTTAATGGCATTAATTTCCTAATTATAATAATGATAATAAACTTTGTATATATAGCACCTTTCAAAACACTGTTACAAAGTGCTTAACAATAAATCAGAACACATTTAAAACACAAAGAGATTGAAATGAAATAAAAGCCAAGAGTAAACACAAAAAAAAGAGTAAAACAAACAAAAATGTTTTAAATCACAAATAAGCTCACAGCGACTCTCAAAAAGTGTATAATTGTAGAACTTATAATAGTAATAATAGTATGCAGCATGTTTTAATGTGTTATTTTGTTTTCAAAGATTCCATTAAATTCCATTAAGTTGTGGTGTGTCAGAACTAATGGTGATTATATTTAAAAAAAAAAAAAAAGGAATCTTTCTTTTCATCCTTAAAGATCTTGGATCTCATATATAGAAAACCTTTCAGGTAGAATAATGGACTTACAGCATCAAACCGTTTGGACATATGAAGCTCATCTTCATTCCTCAACATCTGAAAGAAGTGCAGATGTCTGGAAACAACACACAATAAACAACTGAACTCAATCAATGTAAGCCGAAGTGCAAATATGTTCCCCGTCCTGCTCACTGTTTGTTAGTACAATGGCACAGTATTGAGGTTTGAAAATGCTAGCACCTGTTGGCGCAGCTGACGTAGCTACCTGTTCAGGGTGGCGTTGTCATTGGAGCGCAGTTTGTCAATGACCGGCTGAATGCCCAACATCAGAAACTCATAACGCAAATGGATGCGGAACTCCAGGCTGGTCTGAAAACACGCAAACACATGCACGCACACATGACGTGCCATGTGGAGTTTATTCCCCAGCAGGAAGGAAGACAATAGTGTCATCAGCATATCCCGTAATCCTAAAATGTAATCATCGTATTCATGTTCTGGGTTGACAATATGTAAAAATAAGACAGGTAGAAAAGTTATACATAGAGTTCAGACAGAGTATCAAACAAACACAAAGGCAAATATATATACCAGCATGATATCACTTAAAGATACAGTACTTATAGTGCAGCTTTACTGGTGTCTGATAGCAGTAATTATTTCAGCTTTCATTAAGAACAGCAGAAAACATCAGTCCCTCAGAATCAAAATGTAAAGGTGTGTCTCTAGATCTATTACTTGACCAACAACAAGTCAATCAACCTGAAGAGAACAACTGGACTGCTACTAGAAACTAGAGAAGGCGATTTCTATGCCAATTAGCAGTTAAGTTATAGTGGTACTAAATGTACAGTGTGACCCCCATAGTGAGCATCATCTTTTGGACCTGGAAGCTAAAGAAAGCATCCCCCTGTGCAGGAACGGGTAACACTGCCTTTGTGTTGCCACATTACATATTAACTTTTGAAAATAAAATCAAGGTGTGAGCACCTAGACGTAGTATATCTTTTGGGATCATGCTACATCACAAACCCAAGTCCTATAAGACATTTGACACGATGCACAGACGATATTTCAAACAAAGGAGAGATGCTTCTTCACCTCTCCTGCTCCCTGGCTGAGCACGGCATTGATGAAGGACATGATGGCAGTCTTCAGGTTCACTTCATCTCTGTAGCGGCCTGTGGATCTATCCAAGTCTGTCAGCAGGGTCTGCAGACAAAAGACAAAAAATGTTTCACCATTATAAAACATTCTTCCTTTCTTTTGACGCCCACAAAATTGGAAAATGTTGTAAATTGTGATGTGAAATTGACACACATTTGATGTGATTTGCTGCTTGTGGACTCAGATAAAATGATGCCGATTACTTTCTGTCCCAATCTGATATATGAATATGAGTGGCAAAAATGGGCTACAACTGAATTTGGTCGTGCATCCCCGTGTTACATAATGACAATAAATGATCCTTGAATCCTTGAATTCTTGAATATCAGTGGTCTCTAGCAGAAGACTAAGAGAAGCACACACAGATGAGACAGAAGCAGACCTGAAAGCGAGTTCTCTCCGAAGCAAATTTCTGGTAGTGCAGCATGGCTTCTAGTACTTTCTTGTGGCCCCCTGGCACCAAACACACCGCGCCGAGGATCTCTAACACTGCAACCTGTAGGGAGAGGGAGAAGAGCGAAGAAAGAAGGCCGTGTTCTGTTTGTTCTGTTTGTCTTTGCCCTGTAAAGCGTCTTTGGGTATCTTGAAAAGCGCTATAGAAAATCGATGTATTATTATTATTATTATTATTACTTTATGATCTTGTCATCAGATCTGGGCAAAAATGTGACCACGGTCAACAGAACCAGAAGACCACTGGAAGCATGCTCCCTTGTCACCTTTATTAGTGGTCACATGTCTCTTCTGACATGTTGCCATGACTAGTGTAATCCTCAGAGAAGTGCACACCTGCCTGTTTGTCTGGTCTTTTTGGTAAACTTTTGGGTTTCCTCCTCCTTTGCCCACCTGATTAACTGTCATCTGCCCAGGTGCATCTTGGAAGAACAGGCCAAATACAGTATTTATTCCTGTGTTTCAGTGACTTTGTTTCTTCAGCTACATTTCCTCAACAGTGTTGTGTTGTTTCATTGTCTCTTTTTGGATTTCCGTCATGTGCTTCATAGTGGGCTACTGCCACCCATCCTCAGGCCCTGGGGATGACTTTTTATGTGACCCTCCATTCATTGAAAACAGAACGAAACAAAAACAGCAGCATACCAATGCAAAAGATAGGCAGGCTGCAAAAGAAAAACTGAAAGCTCCCAAAAATTGAATGAGGTAATGTTTCAACCATCAGGGTCTGTGTTTTGCAAACATCCATGTGAAGGAGAAATCATTTTGTCTATTTTGCATTTATTATTTTCTCCTACAAAACACACTACACAACTTTGTACATATTTAGTTTTTTTGACTCTTTGTGGTTGTATAGTCTCTCTTTGTAGTCATTTAGTGTCTCTTGATGGTCTTTTTGCGTCTCTTTGTGGTCTTATTGTGTCTCTTTGTAGTCATTCAAAGTCTCTTTTGGTACTTTGATGTGTCTTTGTGGTAATTCTGCATCTCTCTGTAGTCATTTGACGTGTCTTTGTGGTCTTTTTGCTTCTCTTTGTGGTGGTTTTGTGTCTTTTGATGGTCTTTTTGTGGACCTGTTGTGGATCTGTTTGTCTTTGAGGTGGTTTTTGTCTTTGAGGTGGTTTTGGATTTCTGCAGTTGTTTAGCGTTTCTTGTGGACATAATCATTTTTTTTGTCTATTTTTTAAAATATTCTAGCAAAAAATGTCATGTTCTGTGTTTGACTTCAGTATTACGTCTTCAAAAGAGAACTCTGAGCTCTGAAACAGGAACCGGACTGCAAAGACTCAAAGAGGAAAGGGATGGACGGGTCAGTGACACATGGCTAATTTTACCAGCTGGGTTTACCAGTCCTGGTTGGTGCAAACTTCTTCTAATTAAGAAGTATGTAGACCACTAAAATCATTCTAAAATCGAGGTGTTTCTTTGTCATCACGGGGTATTGAATGCACTGTGTACCTTGGTTTTGATGCTCTCGGTAGTGAGACTTTGGGCGATGATATTAATGCTCTCACAGTGACCCAGCACATGAGCTCTGCCTTGCGAGTTGTTCATCAGAGCTTTGATGCAGCCAATCAGAGAGGTGTGGACCTGAGAGTTGGTGGTCTCATAGTCCATTGACTGGAGGAAATTCAGGATGCAAGACAGGCCATCCAAGTCAATGAAACGAGTCACAAACCTGGAGGGGATGGATCAGAATGGCACAGGGTGAAGGTTACTCTCTAGGTCACTACAGGGGAAAGCAATGCAGCTTTGGGAAATCTCAAAATTTCAAAATAGTGTGCATGTAGTTGTACCTCATTGGCTGTGTCCTCAGTGCTGTCTTTAGACCATCTACGATTTTATGTCTTCCCTGCTCTTCCTCATCCTCTGGTCCCAGCAGAGTCTTCCTCTGGGAAGAGAGGGGTCGGACTAAATAATGCCTGACTACAGGTCACATACTCACTCAGAGGCGATAACGGAGCGAGTTTGGCCCCTAGAATTAAATGTTTCTGGTTTGTAGTGTAGGATCGGTGCACTCCGTGATATTAGCTGATATTAAGTTACAAATAATTGCAATGGCATTTGAATTATCATTATTATTCAAAGGCAGATATACAGTATATCAATATACTGTATGTATGACAATATCTATAATGAAAAATAACCCATCTTAAAGGCCCCATGTATCAAATTATTCTGGTGAAATAAGTTTGGTATACATTGTCATCTGCAGCGTCCTTGTTGACACACAGGGGGTGGAGACAACATAAAAAAACATGTTTAAATGTACTCAAAGTGGCTTTAAAATTCATCAATATTTTCACATTTTATAAAGAAAATTAGCAATAAAGATAAATCTGTCTGTCTTTCAATGAACTTAGAGCAGCAGGATGTAAACAAATGGACAAATTCACAAAGAACGGATCGCGGAGGCTAATGCCATGCATTTTGCATCACTTGCAGCCACTATCCACCCGTCTCAAGTTCTGATCTACAAAAGATAATGTGCTAATAATATTACAGTTCAAACACATCCATAAAGTTTAGCAGATAAGTGCAATTTGCCCCTTTTTTAAATCTGATTACCATGTAGCAAAGTGTAAATATTGTAGGCAAAACAAAGTCAGAGAGAAAAATACAAATGAAATGTTCCCATCGCGAGCTACAGGTCCTGATCAAACGAGGTGCAGAGGCGTTCCACAGAACTACGGGTCAGAATTTCAACGTGACAGAGAGAAACCGTAACAGGAATTTAATATCCCGTCAGTACAAACGCAGAGTTACTCACAGCAGCCATGGACCTGAGCTGATCAATATAATACTCTGGCCATCTGGTTGCTCCTTTATTCTCCGCTGCCTCCTGCAAGACACACATGTACAGACACACAGGTCAGGGTCATGGATATACTTAGTTATACTAGACAACAAATCTATGTGTCGTCCTACTACTTTGTAATTTTAAGAATCGTGCTTTGAAATGTACACAAGATGGGGATGGATTCCAGTCGTGGTGAAGGTAACATCATATGATGAAAAAGCCACCCGTAGGCTGTCGTAGAGAATTCATGACATCAGCGCAGGTTTCTGAAGTTTAGATTTGGGTTTTCTGGAGCCAGAACATTGAGGTTGAAAGGCAGGAAGCCTTGGCGGAGCTGAAGAGTGACCATGCAGTTAACTTCGAGGGAATTGGTGGAGACACCTGTCAATACTACAAAAATGCTCCCAGGACATAAGCCTTAATATTTCATTAATTGATCAAAACGTACTCTTTGGCAAGACATACCTCACCTCTGTGGTAAATTACTGAGACCATAACGTCTTGTGAGAAAAACGAACAAAGGTTTAAGGATGCTAGCATCTCTCGTCTACTATGAACCGTAACTCAAGACACGTCACTATTGGTCAGTACGTTGGTGTCTTCTTGAATCTATCAGCCACCGAGGGGACACATTCAGTCGTTACTCTGTGAGTAAGTGACCGAATGACGGAATGAGCAATGAAAGAATATGTAAGTTACTCACTAGGTGTTATGGTCCTTTTTCATTTAACTAAAACTAAGGTGGTTATTTAGTAGCCAGGACATTTTTGTCCTCAGTATGCTTCAAACTAAATATTTGTTGGATCAACTTCTTAAATGATTTGAGGGGGACAATTTTTTTGACTTTATGAACCCCAAAAATCTGACGTTCTTCAGGCAAACTCCTTTGAACAACCAAGAGCAACACCACGAATGTCTTCTTGGATGGACCGTCTGAAACTGAACTCTATCCCTATTTGTTCGATTCATCACTGCTCTCAACTCTCATTTCTACCTCACGTGTGTCCATTGGACACAAATGGCAACACCTTGTATGATGGTATTTGTTTGAAGCATACTGAACTCTTAAGCTATAGTTATACTTTCCCTGTCCTTGAGTATGCAAGGACGTGGCATAAATTTCATCATCAGAGGGTCAACGCTAGTCTCTGTGTGGTCGTCCCATGGACTGTATATTAGAAGCGGACGTAGTCGTCGTGACGTCACCCATTGGTTTGTGGACTGTGATGAATAATACACATTGGGGCCAGAATTCCTAACCAAATGACACCTAGAAGCTACTTCAGGCCCCTGCTGTGTCGACCCCTTGATTGAACCCCCGGCTCAGATCTGCTCTGTGAGGTCACCAGTATACCGGTATGCTTTATTAAACTCACAACACCACAGCAACTTCTGAACTGGACTTAATGATTTCTTCAACAACTGCTGTTATGAAGCCTTGAGTTCGACGATTTCGCCGTCGCCATTTTGAAGTACGGACGTTGTCAGCTTGGCTTTTTTGCAACGAAAGTTACCATATTTGGAATGCGATGAGTGACGTAGAGACGCCGTATACGGCTCTGGTGGCGGCAGCGACCTGTCAATCACAGTAAGCCCGCCCTAAAGCATACCCTGCTTTATGGTCTATTTGACTCTAAATGGACCATAATTTACTAAATGAACATCATGCTGTATTGAAGAAGTGTTGAAACTAGAGATTGAGACCATAAACACATGTTTACAATGTTTACTGAGGTAATAAATCAAGAGAGAAGTAGAGTCATTTTCTCATAGAAGATGGATATTAGAGCTTTAAGAAACTTCCATATTGACTTCACTCGGCAGAACGGGGCTTGCCGTCTGGGTCGTCCATGTGCCGCCAATTTCTTGTGACTGTACAGACTAGTCTGGATGTGTCCGAGTGGCCACTAAGCTACATGTGGTAGCGTAGCGATACTGTGCATGTCTGGAATGCATCCTCTGCTTGCGAGTATAACAAAGGCTTTAGCGGTAGTAATCCTAATCCAAGAAAAGCAGCTACCATAGAGCTCACGATACATAAACTATTGATACAGGTAAGTTGGCTGTTGTATTTATAGTTCCTTACCAATTTCTTACTGCAGTAGAGCTGCCATTTCTTCTCTGCTGGCAAAGAAAACATGGCAGCTCTGTGCTCCTCTGTAAGGTCCAGTTCATCCTGGGACAGAATACAGAAAGGATGGAGAGGGAGAATGATGAACATAAGAAGAAAGCTGCTGAATAAATATGGATGTTTGAATGCATTCAGAATAGGAACTTTGACTCACCACCAGCTCAGTGAACATGGAGTCCAGGTCTTGAAGGGGGGGCATGGGCAGGTTGGGCTCCAGCACAGCCATGGTTTTGGTGTTGTCGTGGCAGTGGGTGATCTCTGGTTGGTCGCTTCCTTTGAAGCAGCAAGAAAACAGAGAGGACAGGCCACGCCCCTCGGGCTGCTTCACCCGGGACACCATGTTACAGCGGGGACTTCACCAGAAGTGCTGACTAAAGAGGGAAACAAAAAGATGAATCAAACGATAAAGAGTGGGGTTACTGCTGCACAGCACTTGGGCTTGTGTTCAGCACCACCATGGGGACAGACTGCATTTCTAGACCAACTTACTTCATTAAAGTTAATTGGTAATTTAATTTGTATGTATGTTCTACCATGACATTACAGGCAAAAACATAGTACATTTTGAGACTTTTGGTCTATTTTGCTTCCATAACATGTCTTCTTTCAGACTATTGGAAAGAAAGCATCTCATATATTCATTTAGGTGTTTATTTTGCTACTTTGTGTCTGTAGACTTCTGCTAAATTCACTAAAAGTTAGCATTAGATAATGCCTTGTTGGTATATTTTAACATAGAATTTGAGAAAACTTGGAATACAAACAAATTGTTTAGATGTACATAATCAACTGGGGAAGTTTCATGGTGATATCTATTAGTTTAAAAAATACTGTTGTATCTTACAAAATGTATCTCATTTTAAGATACATATCTTTAAAGGACGTTTTTTCTCAGCCTCAGACAGAAATTAACACTTCAGTAACACTTACACACACCAAACTTTCCAGATTCATTCCTAGCTATATTCTGAAGGTTTTTACAGGAGTTTGTGTAAAAGCACACTTCCCACAAGTGTCTACAAGAAATGACTCATGAGTTATGAAAGAATACGTGGCTTAAGTATTAGGGGCAAGGCTAACCCACAATGAAAAAGGAAAAAAACCTGCTGAGTGCAATGATGCCTGCAACAAGAGTCTACGAGAAAAACGCTTCATGAGTTTGGCCTTAGTGCTCGAACCCATTTAGAAGTGCTGCGCCCCCTTTTTGTTTCGGCCACTCTCACTGCCACGCCCCCTTTTCTGCCAATTGGTATGAAGACAAACAAACACCTTTGCACCCACACACTTGGCCGCAGAGTCAAATTTCTGCCTGCTAGGGTTGAAAACTGTGGCTACCAAAAGGGGGGTGGAGAAATTTGTGGACCTGCTGCAGCTAAAGAATACTTGTTACACAATCCTTAACAAATGCTAACTCTTCAACATCATTCTGATAGTATTGAGTTGCTGATTTCTGCAACAGATGTTGAAATGTTTTTTGAAGAAAATGCGCAAAGACCTTGATGTACAAACTTACACAACTGAAATAACAATGAAACAATTCTCTTTCCAAGCACAGCACACCTTTATGACTGATTAAATGCAGTAACCATGACTCATCAACCAGCCTGGATCAGGTATAAGCGCACAACACACCATATTGAACTTGTAGCTAGTCAGTAACCTTCCTCACCATCATCTTATCTAGATCCATCCTTGATATGAGGTGGCTGGATCTCTCTGCTCTTGTCACTGATCCCAATCTGGTTTAAATGGGGAATGTTGATTAATGATCAGCACCCCCCCGTCAGTAAGTGAAAGTTGGCTGCGATGTCAAGGCGCGACCGGGCTGACAGGAGGTGTAGGAGTGGCAGGGCAGTTATGTGAAGCAGGATGACCTGCCAGACGGGGCACGCAGAGACACACCCTCAGCAGGAAGATGTCGTACTGATCGAGGACATTCACGCCCAGTGAAAAGTGATGCTTAACTTGATTCAGGTATGGAGTTTTTAATGCTTTTGAATAAAAAATATCTTGTCAAAAAAAAGTCCGGAAATGGTTCCCTGCTAAGTCCCGTCAGTAACACAGAGCTCTAATGGTTAGGTAGTCTGAGATGTAGCATTACTTAAAAAACACTGAAACCAACTCATACCGTGGAGGAAATATGAAAATAACTTGTATTTCAACATTTAATATTATGCTAATATTTTATTTCTCCACTGGTTTCAACCCACGTTTTCCTGTTGTCCCCCTAACGTAGCTTTACAGTTGTTAAAATCATCTTCGTCCACAGTTTGACAGTATCACATGTATTGTGCATTCATGTTTTATGCATCATTCTATCAAATAGAAATATTCTAGATGTCTTGTATCATTTTATAGAACATTCTCCAAATTTCAAGAGGAAAGCCGGTTTCAGACATATAGAAAACAGAGAAAGCCTTTCTAAGAATGGCATCCCCCACATCCTGTCTGTGTACAACAATGCTAAACCTGTGTTTGAGGACATGACGTATCTTTGTATTCATTCACCTAAGTCATCTAAAACTTTCCAGGGAATCTTACATTTTTTAAGTGTGCGTTAATTGACAGTGACCCACAACCTCACACGTGTAAACAAACCAGCACACGCCAATGAACATGCAGCTACTTAGGTTAGCCGACAATTAGCTACAACGACGATTCCTGTTCAGAGACAAGAGTTTGACCTTAAAATACTTCAACTTTATTATAGTTGTCATTATACATTAGGTACATATACATCAAATATCAATATATATCCATTGGGAGCAGTGGGCTGCTGAGAAATGCCCGGGAAGCGGTTAGGAGTTCTGTGTCTTGCTCAGGGACACTTCGACACACGTAGCAGCCAAGCCTCGAATCGCCAGCCTTGCTGGTAATCCTATGATAGAAGTTTATTTTGAAAAGACACTGCCTGCATGTAAGGAAAGGAAACTATGTTTCCTGTGAACACGGAAGTTTAAATTGAGAAGACACTATGCATGTAACTGATATCCCAGTGATAGAATAAGTATTCAGACAACACCATTAAAAAAATAAAAAATCATCCATTACAAGTAAAAGTTGTACAATCAAAATGTTACTCTAACCTATATTCATGTATTTGTTGGCCACTTGGATGCAATGCTCAACAACAAGCCCAAGTCACACCACATATTATGGCAATATATAGTTGATCATGCTATTGTGTTAGCAATCAAGCACCAGTGACATCCATTCAGGGTTGTGCTAGCATCCACATGATGAATACAAGTTAGTCGGTTTGTTTTCCACCAGCCGCTGGGGGAAAATATCTCTCTCTTTCGCTGCAAATTTCTCCACTTTGTGTCTCTAACTGTGTCTGTCTGCTGATTGGTGCTGCTACTTTTCACTTTTTAAAGTGAAAACTGATTGATAGCAAGAGAGCAGTGAGACTAAACCAAAATTTGCAGAGCTGCACAAGCTGAAAGATGCTCTGAAGCTCTGATGAGCTGAGGGGAACTCCTCTCACAATACATTTGATCCAATGCTAATATGAAATAAGGATTAGCGCAGCTTTAAGTATTGCACATTATTATTACTGATACGCTGACGTGTGGGCAACAGTAATTATAACTAACAACTGACAAAATTATCTTGAAACCACTCACTTTTTAATTTTCTGGAGCTTTCAGCCATTTTACAGTCTTCATTAGCAGAGGGAGTTTTCTAGGTTGTCATTAAAGGCGTGTCCTTGAGCCCAGTGTTGACATCTCTTTTCCAATGAAAGTTTAGCTCTAAAGGTTGATAAATCTATAGCGACAAGAAAATCGCCAAGTCGGCAACACTAAGAGCCTTCAGCCCTCCCTCCAAAGCCACGCCCCCAAAAAGATCAACGTAAACAACAAACATGGCTAATGTTAGCACTCACAGCTGTTAAGCTAGCAGCTTGTGGAAGACTCCGGTGCTGAGCAATGAGTGAAAGGCCAGAATACCCGCAGGCAGGCAGCCCGTCCAATCATTACATACAGGCCGAATGAAATGATTGGACGAGCTTATTACAGTCCTGAGACTGCCACAGATACCGGATCTTTGTTTTTGTTGGTCACATCATTTGATCTATTGATTGTTGTCGGGAAGTAATGACAATTTCAACAAACATATCAATAATGTTTTTGAAGAAGATTACCAACCCTATCTTTAAGCGTGTTCACTTGTCATCACGTGACCTTCGGCCTCACGATAACAGCTGGTCCTGAGCTGTGGTTGAAAGCTCAGAAAAAAAGCTAGTAAGTTGAATATATAAAGGAAGTATAAAGTGGCATCAATGGAAATACTCAAGTACAAGTACTTGAAAAGTTTACTTCAATACAGGAATATGAGTGGATGAACTTAGTTACATTTCACCACTGGATATTACTAAAAGGTTTTGCCTGTGACTGTTAATAGAGAAAAGGTCAGGAATCCCCACAGTGAGTAAGATCTGTCCCCTGGGGCCCATAACATAAGAACATACTGTATTTTTTCTGCATCATCAATCATTGCTGGACAGATTGAGTCACTGACCGGCACACAAATAATAAATACACCCGTCAATCAAAGTACTGGAACTCGGGCAACTGATGTCCATGCATGCTTTTTAATAGTTGACAATGTCCACCGTCAGTATCCTTGCCTCAGTTACGTGAATGTGTTCAAGCTCACCAATGGTTGCTGCAGGACTCCAATAACGATCAGCAACATGTGTGTATGGTTATGTCGTGTATAGATTGATGACAGGGTTATTATTCACCCTGACGCTCAGATGAACCAATCACCCCTGAGTTCGCCGGGTTTAATCGATACTTCATCGAACCCTATGGGGAAAGTGTTTTTTCTAACTACGCGGAGGTCAGAGGTCAGTGTCCTTGACAGAACAGCAGTCCCTCCGGCTGGTGGGGGAGTCACTGTCTCCCTCAAGGACGATTCAGTCAGTAAATGTTTGATAAGAGCTTGTTGTGTTGATGAGGCTGCTAACAAGCCGTCTGTCTTCTGATGAGCTCATCTTTAACCAGCTCTGTGGTCCTCAAGCTCTCTGTATTTTTCTTATTGGTGGACAAATCCAATCAAAAGAGCACAAATACCACACATATTACGGTAATCAGCGTTGCATATGTGTCTGACCAAAAAAGCAAAAAATAAATGATTAATTTAAATTATTTTGTTTAGAGTTTTTAAAGTTATTTTGTTTGTAATATGTATAACAAGCATATCATTTAGTTATCGCAACTGAGAATTTATCAAACATAAAAACAGGAAAAAAACATTTGCAGTTTTCAAGGTGTATATTTCAAATTGCATTTATTACACACATGAAGATAAAGTTGTGAACACCGGCTGAATATCTATTATCAGAATCATTATAACTGTGTTATAACTGCTACTGTGTAAAGGGAATACTGCTGTTAACAAGAACCTGATGTGTTTAAAGTGTTTGCAAACCAAATGTTATTGCACTTTTGTTCATATAGCAGTACTTTTAAAATAAAAGTGCACAATACACTACTTTTGAATTCATTATTGAATTTTGCACATAACAATGCAATTAATCACGATTAATCGCAAAAAAATCATGCGATTAATCGCGATTAAAAATCGTAATCGTTGCCCAGCACTAGTTTTTTTATAATGTCTATTCTTGAGCACATTTAGATGTAAAAAGTAACTAACCTTGTAAATGACCAAAAATGTATTTTTACATCCAACCCTTTGACAGTACCTCTACTACTCACAAGATGGCGCTCTTAACTATTGGCACACGAGCAATAAGTTGGCCAGTGAGTTTTTTGGAAATATTTTTGGAAATGTTGACGTTCACTCTCATCTGCGAGTCTCTTTCACAGCCTTTGATATTTACATTAGTTTGATTTTTTTTTTTTTTTGATGATTTCAACTCAGATGTGGATGTATTCATAAGGACGGCAGCCTTCTTGTATATTGCTTATAACCGTTAACCCTAATGTCGATACGTCAAACACTGATTAACAAGAACATTTAAAAATGACGCTTTGCATTTGAAAGGTTGGCAACCCCTGACCCCTGCTGTACACAAAGTGTGCGGATCATCCTGGGTCTCTTACCTCTCTGATCCTCTCCTATGCGATGTGCTGAGATGCCATGTTGAGCTCCAGCAGTGTGTGTAGCAGCGCTCAGGCGTCAGATGAACATCTGTGGCGGAGATCATTCACTCTGCCTTCAGCCCAGCTCCAATGTCATTCCAACGTTGAAACACCTGGTTCTCGCTGAAGAACACACTGAATTTCTTCTGAGAAATTATTTGACATGCTCTACATAATCCAGAGAAATAGAATGAAAGTCAGACGGCGATGCTGAAGTGAAGCTTCGACTCCAAAGACGCGGATTTTAACCAAAAATAAACAGAGGTACAAATCTGAAATGTAGATCCACCTGTGGGCCTTTCAGTAGAGCTGGAGGAGAACTAGAGTTGAATTTACAAACAGACCTTAATCAAAAAAAAAAAGTTTGTTAAATTAGAAAGTGTGTAAACACAAAATCCACCAAACATAGACGTCACAGAGTGCCGGTTCCTCAAAAGTTAGTCAGAAACCCTGCAGGTGTCCAAAATAATACAAATCCTCTTTCAGTCGTTTCATCTATCCAGACAACACCTGCTCTTGTCTCTTGTGTTCGTCCTCCTCCTTTGACCCCGTCAGTGTGCTCATGTGAGCTGATCAGAGTCTCTCTGTCTGTCCGTCAGATGGAATGAACAGAGAAACTGCCAGATCTGCCTGGGCGAGATTGTACAGTATTCAAAACACACACTACTGCATTCCTGGTGGAGGCAGTCACGCCCAGACCTCACCCACTGCTGGTTGTGTGTGTGTGTGTGTGTGTGTGTGAGAGAGAGATAAGTGGGACAGTGTCTGTGGTAATATCTGTGCAGTGTCTCATCATGTCTCATAATGAGACAACATATTTAGAAACTTTTCTAAGGTGTATTTGAATCAGAACCTCGTCAGACAGCTTCTATGAGCTTCCATCACATGTAACTGTGGCTCCTTCTAAAGCCCATGAAGCTCATGTTCTGTTCTATTTTTAGAGCTCTGGTCACATGATGACAATAACACCGTCTCCATCACTATAGAGTGCTGCAGGGATGACGGATTTTTCGTTGGCCAACCAGGAAGTTAGCATTGCACTGGCTCCCTTGACAAAAACTCCAAAACATTTCCATTGGATTTCTGATTATTGCAGAAAATAAGCTGTGGCAAACAAACGTTTATGATACTTACAAGTTTTGTTCAGCAAGATAATCTTCACAAACGCCACTTCTATGATTTTTGAAGCGTTAACGAAATCAGCAGAAGTAAAAAGCTAGCATTAGGCTATACAGGAACTACACCACGGTCACATGACTTCACGTCACCACCAATAAGCTAAAGGAGGACTAGTCTGCGTGATGACGTTTGTAGTCTCATTGAGCCACTTGTTAGCTCTTTTAAAGACACCTAAAAGCTTCTACATTTTTTTGTAGCAAATGTGCTACAGCTGAATTTCATTGCTAAACACTGTATGATAATAAATGCTCCTTGAATCTTTGAATCCTAACCAAACACCCATTTGAAACACCCATTGACTTCAAGACGAAAAAAACGGAAATACAAAAATGCTGACTCGTTTCTGGGTTTTAGGACTCATTCTTGTAGCACTCTATTGCTCCACCCTTTTTTTTAGCCCTGGAATCTCATGTTCTGTTCTATTTTTTTAGTCTAGTCTCATTTTCATTGACACTCACTGTGAATTTCTGAGTATATCAAAATGTAACTGTCCCAATGACAATTACACCGTCTCCATGACAATTGAGCAATCAATGTGGTTAACTTCTCTACATTTGACAAAAAGTCACACTCAAATGTTTAGTTATATTTAGTTTGTTTTTAAATTAAGGAGAGGTTAAAATTATTTGGATGGGGTTGTATTGATATATTTGTATATTTATGTACATTCATATACTATGACTATATTATCATATCTTATACCCTCCCATAGACACTACACGTTATTTTAACCTCTCTATATTTCTGCACAATACTGCCACTTCTTATACTGCACAGCTCTATTATTTTCAATTTTAGATATATTGTACATATTCTTTTTTAGAATGTATTTGTACTATTGTAATTTTCTGCTATTTATGTAATATTTATGTTTCTTGATTTTTGTAGTTACTTTTATTTTTCATTTAATTTCCTCCTACTGTGTTAATGCAATGCACCAATACACCAAATCAAATTCCTTGTATGTGAAAACCTACTAATAAACTGGTAAACTAGACTAAACTAGATTCTGATGGTGGTGAAAGATGGCATTTATTGTTATGTAATGTATTTCTCATTAAGTCATCTCAAAATATGGTGGAAGGATATTTTATCTCTAGGGTTCACAGATATTGATATAAAAAATAAAACATGTCTGCTGCTTCTTATTGTATGCTACCCCCCGTGTGTGAGATGGAGCCAGGTGACATTCCAACACACTTGTCTAACATGCTGTTGCAGAGCAGTGACGAGTGTTGTCCTTTTGTCTCCAGTCTTAAACACCAGAATTACGGGTTGTATGAGCTTAGCTTAGATAGACTCTATCACTGAACCTGTCACATTAACAGTTTGTTTCAAGCCATCTGCACCCGTGAAGACACATTACTGTCCAGGACATAAGGGCTGGAATTATAAGACTTTTAGAAGAGCAAGAGAGAAATCCTGACCAAACACGTACCTGCTGCATTATGAGCACAACATTCAAACTATAAGTATTAGCATTAGAATGAGCGTTAGTAACAAACAGGTCTGCTGCTGTTCAAGTTGAACAAGACTGAAAGGCTAATACCCATACAGCAACTTCCGGTTCTGAGAAGTGAAGCCAAAGCTTCATGTGTTAAAGCTGCATTCTCTCTAATGTCCACCAGGGGGCGACTCCTCTGGTTGTATAGAAGGCTATGAGAAAATGACTCTACTTCTCTCTTGATTTATTACCTCAGTAAACATTGTAAACATGAGTTTATGGTCTCAATCTCTAGTTTCAAGTCTTCTTCAATACAGCATGATGTTCATTTAGTAAATAATGGTCCATTTAGAGTCAAACAAACCATAAAGCAGAGTATGATTTAGGGCGGGGCTACATGGCGTTGTCTGGGAGTTGTGTTGTCATCTTATTCAGCATTCAGTTGCACTTGGCTACACTCTCTCCTGTCAATTCTGGTTACAAAAAAAACAGATTGCGAGGGACAAAATGACGAACTTGAAACAGCAGTCCACAAACCGATAGGTGTCAATGTGACTACGTCCACTTCTTATGTCTAATACCCTGCTGGCTCCCCCTGAAGGACACAATTGTAATTACAGCTCACAAAACAAGTGTTTGGGCCAATGCACAATGAGCTCATAATGTTTTACTGTCCTCTTGTGCTGCACACTGCATACCTTTACACATAAACATCGAACAAAAAGTTCGGAAATTAGTGTTTGGTAGATTATTTCTCTGTTGTAACAATGCTTCTTGGCAATGAATTTTATACCGTTGGAAAGCCTGTTTAGTTACCTTTTAAACGGTGCCCCATTTGTAAGGAACATGCATTTGTGGGATGAGCAGCACGGCTGAGTATGTGGGTTGCGCCCATGAAAAATTTGCCAAATCTTCTCTGCCAATGCCAAACAGCTTATTCTGCTGTTGCTATTGACCATCAGGCCCGTTTGCGCTGGTGTCGGCAACACCTGCACTGGAACCTGAACATGTGGAGGAACGTTATGTTCAGCGATGAGTCCAGATTCTGCCTAAGGAAGTTGGATCGTAGGGTCAAAGTGTGGAGAACTCTATGCTGATTGCTGCACCGATAGAGTAACACCTTTTGGTGGAGGCAGTGTGATGGTGTGGGGCGGCATCTCCATCACTGGAAAAACGAGGCTCGTCTTCATTGGAGGCAATCTCAATGCAGAGAGATATTGAGATGAGATTCTGCAACCAGTGGCAATCCCATTTCTCCACTGTCTGGGACCGAACTCCATCCTCTAAGATGACAACGCTCGCCCCCACAGAGCGGTTTATCAGAGACTACCTCCAGAATTTGGGAGTAGAGAGGATGGAATGGTCCTGACCTCAACCTAATTGAACACTTGTGGGATCAGCTTGGGCGTGCTGTTCGTGCTAGAGTGACCAACACAACCACGTTGGCTGACTTGCGACAAATCCTGCTTGAGGAGTGGAATGCCAGCCCACAGCAGTGTGTGAGCAGGCTGGTGACCAGCATGAGGAGGAGGTGCCAGGCTGGTGTGGCTGTGTATGGTTCTTCCACACGCTACTGAGGCTCCTGTTTGTTAAATGGCCAATATGTCTTGTTTCTTCCTTGTTACTGATAGACTTCAATCATCCAATCCACCAAACAACAGTCGATAGCAACAGCAGAATAAATAAACTGTTTGGCATTGGCAGAGAAGATTTGGCAAATTTTTCATGGCCGCAACCCACATACTCAGCTGTGCTGCTCATCCCAGAAATGCATGATCCTTACAAATGGGGCACCATTTGAAAGGTAAATAAACAGGCTTTCCAACGGTATAACATTTATTGCCAAGAAGAATTGTTACAACAGAGAAATAATCTACCAAACACTAATTTACGAACTTTTTGTTCGATGTTTATATTTTTGCATGTGGGCTTCAACAAAGCCAACGGAGAATATGTCATTAATGGTATTAAGAGTTCATTAATATATCATTAAGAGAATTCCCATTAAAAAGATTTTCCACCGAGGACAAGATCATAATGTCAACAATTCCGAGGTTTCTGTTTTATTGTTTTTATCGTGTTGGTAGGGCATTTTCACCACTGCTTTGGGTAACATGATATTTAAAGACTTGTGTGTACAAGTGTAAGATTTGTCATTTGTCTACTGACCATTAAATAAATTATTGCAATTGCTAACAATTACATTTTGATGTATTTGAAAACAGCCAAGTCTATTAGTGAAGTGTCTTAAAGGTGCTGAATTCATTACTATATCATCAAATAACTATCATCTATGTAGAGATATAGTGGAGTAATGTCTACCTGAGCAGAGAATGAAGTCACCCCTCCGGTTGCCCCTCAGGTAAATACTGTCACTACTGTTGCACTCTGTTAGTTGTAAATAGCCGACTCAGCCGTACTCAAGTATTTCCATTTTTGTACTACTTTGTACTACTTCTACTCCACTGGAATTCAGAGTGGATTATACGAGATTGGGAGCATTTCAATTGCCTCTCAACGTCTCTCAACATGGGACGCCTGAGCCGGCGCTAAAGGTGCAAACTAAGGCTACGGTGCTAGCGGAGCTGCAAGTGTTTACCTGAGGGGGAACCGGAGGGTGGGGGCTACGCTTCCGCTATGACGCTGTCGTTCGGACGGCGTTATCAGCTGTAACCACCGTATGAGAGCGGTGCAGAGCTGTCAGCAAACAGTGGGGCATGCTCACATGCACTGAAAGGTACATGCGGCCGACCGGCTACGTGAGAAGCTCCGAGTACAACACACTCAGAGGGAGAGACTTCATTCTCTGCTCAGGTACGCGTTACCCTACTATGTCTTCACATGGATGAGTTGTTTGCTGCTACATTGCTGCTGTGTCCTATAAACTACCTCGCAGTGTATACAATAGTTACAATCAGCTCCGCCTCCATTAAAATTAACATTTCTTGGGAAGGTACATTTTGCTGATAATACTTACTGTATTTGAAGTGACATTCAGTGCAGGAGTTTTACTTGTACTTGAGAAAAAGCAGTATGTATGTTATTTTGGAAGGTTTTCAATATGTTTGGAAAATTACAATGTTTTTACATTGTAGTATTGCTACTTTTACTAATAAAGGATCGGAATACTCAAGAGAATTTGTACTTCCAGAAAAGTGGTCTGAAAGCAAAAAGGAACAAGAACTGTGAGGGAATCAGAACAGGTTTCATTTTGAATTAGAATTTTCAAGGGCTCAAATGTCCAAAGGGTAAAGTCATCTCAACTCTGATTTAAAGAGTTTTTTACGCCCACATTACCCCATTCGTTTCCCTCACCTGTTTAATATTAATATGACAGACCGCTGTCCTCTTCCGACCTCTCTCAGATCTCCTGTCCTGGTTGCGTTTGTCTTTAAATAGCCCTGTAGGGTAACAATCTTCAAAGACATGTGACCTTTAGGGTTCAGTACAGGATGTGAACTGAAGGCTTTCATGACACAGGACAGCCCGCTAAACAAGGCGCTGTCCCACTTTGATTGTTCCTTTCCTCGTTACCATTTAAACCTGTAGATCAGTTATTATATTAGTTAGACTTTTGGAGCCCACTGAATCCATCCTGTCTAGGTATCATTCTTATTAGTAGATGGAGGTGGCCATTCTCACAGCAGACATTTTTTGACTTGTCAAACCCCAAAAAATAGTAATGCCAATATTTTATTCAGATGTACCAGTACTGCAGCTCATTGATATGTCTTATCTGGCACACTTACAGTAAACTCAACAGTATTATTTACACCTATGCTTTTCCTACTAACATTTAAAGCTCATATGTTGTAGAAAGTGAAGTTACTGCTTTTTAAAAATGATTATTATAAAGCAAGCCTAGGTGCTATATAAATAGAAGAAATGAGTACTAAAACCCAGATATGAGTCAGTATTGTTTTGCACATTAGGTTCCCTCGTCTCGAGGTCAGTGGGTTTTTACAATGCGTTTTTGGTAAACTGCCTGAAATAAGGTCCGTGGTTAACACAAGCTGAAGAGATTTTAACGTTTTGCTTTAAGTTATAAAATACATCAGTAAATTTCCCTCTCAACAATGTTAAAACCTACTGAAACGCAGCACAATCGACGATGCTGCTTTGCTGCAGACAGGTGGCCGCTGAGCCATAAAAGCGTCATTGTCACAGCTTTTATAGACCTGCTGAACTGAACTAGACAGTTTGAACAGTCCAAAGACATCACATCGGTTACATCTTCCACTATATTTGGAAGATTGCAACACAAAACCTGTTGAGACACAATCAAGCTGACACTTTTACACATATTAATAATCATAATAAAATATATAGTAATGTCATGCCTAATAAGTAAAAAGAAAAAAAAATTCCACAACAGGCTAACAGACATGCTGAAAATACAACAAGCTCACGTACCTAACGATGAAATAGATAGCCTGTTGGTGACTTTCAAAATGAGCCATATGACTGTTTATAGGCACAGTTTTAGATCTACAACCTCCGAGGTTAAGCTTTGGTTCAATTCAGACAACTGAAAGCACCTCCCTACTGCTCTGCACAACGCCACACGGTTAATACTGTGCAATGATTGGTTAGGTTTAGGCAACAAAAGGACTCGGTGAAGGTTAGAAAAAAGATCATGGATTGTGTTCAAATAATACCGTAACAAAATAACCTTCAACATAACGTGACAACGAAACACAACAACATAACTGCCACAAACAATCGCTGTTAACAGACTTTTTTACAAAACATTCCGTAACATTACGTGAAGTCAACAACTTGGTTACGTACTAACTTAGTTACATAAAATAAATGGACGTGTAGACTTTTGGTTTTACAGGGAACACGGACAACAGTGTAGTTTGTTTGACACATCCACACTTAGAGGACTTTCTTGCATGTTAAACTCGTAATTTGCCCACATTACATCCATTCAGCGTACCTTTCAATAATGGCCGCTCAACATACTATGTCAGTCGTTGTACTACGTCACCTGCTCTAACCGAATGCAAGAATCTGGCAGTTTGCGGAAACTTATAATGGCAACGTTTTTTTCCTGACGACTGGGCTGCAAAATCATTCTTGATCGATCCATACAAATCAACTTGGGGAACCTTGCACCACGGACTGATAGTGAACAGTCTTGAACAGACACTGATGAACTTTGAGTGAACTCAGAGGCCGCAGTCCAGAACAGAGGAAACTGCCATATCTTACTCGATGAGCTGCACCATCCACTTTATTATAACCAATAAGAGGCGTGGTTTGCAGAGGATTTTGAGACAGCAGTCCATATTACAAATACGTCTCTTGAATAAATTGTGTTGACTCTGCAAGCTTGGTGTAACTGGGAGGTGTTTTTCTGGAGATGTCTGAAAATGGCATGTACATATATGTTTTAAGCATGAAAGGTTTAGGATTAAGGAAAAGCTTGATCTTTTTTCCATATCCACATGCTGCGTTTACAGATGAAACAACATAAAAACCTTTGCAACACAAACATTTCATGGTTTTCTACAGAAATATATTCCATTCCCTTCCATGCTTAACCACTGAGAGGATGCTAGAGGTCCTACAGGTGGTCGCATGATGATGGTGTCCTCCAAAATCAGGAAGGAATTTCATGTACCCATCAATTGTAACAGCTAACTTTTGTCTTCCCACATGGTGTAAACTTTTTGGTAATTTAACAGTATGCTTTTGGTTCCTGGAACAAAATCCAAATAAACATTTTGGAAAAGACACAAATACTATAAGGTTTCCAAAAAATGTTACAAACTGGTGATAGTCTCTAGATTCACAACAACAAATAGAGATAAGACAAAAAAACTCGTAAGATGGTTAAGCATTCTCCCAGAATGTCACAGGCTGGTGTCAGCAGTCTTCATCTTTGGGGCACTGACAGAGTTGGCTACTGTCGCAGTGTCGGGCTGGGCGTCCCGGCAGAAGAACACAGCAGGGTTTTTACAGGCCCACATTGCCACCTCCCCTCCCCCTCCTCCTTTGCCGGGACTTGAACTGGACAGCTGGCTGATATTATTCACGCCGACACGACTCACGTAGCGGTCCCTTATCCGCTCCGCTTGGTTGAGCCGAATCTCCCGGTTCTGGGTTTGGCTGGAGAGGTACGCGGCAATGTTTCTGGTCCGATAGCCCTCCTCTCTGCTCCGCCCCAGTAACATGGAGATATTGGGGTTCCTCAGGGCATAGATCAGAGGGTTGATGGCTCCGTTGGCCCAGGCTAGCCAGATGGCAACTGTGTCCATCGCAGGATTGAACGTGTAGTCCCCCATTGCCGTGACCAGCCCCATCAGACAGTATGGACCCCAGCAAAAAATGATGAAGACGATCATGATCAGAACCGTGGTGGCGGTTCGCATTTCACTGTAGAATCGCAGCAAGTACGCGTATGTGGTCACTGGCCTGACTCGGATTTCAGAGAGACGAACCGTCTTGCAGATGTTGTAGTGACAAAAGCACATGAGGGAGAAGGGCAGTAAAAAACACACGACGATAAGGCAGACACTGTAAGCTGTCCCCATGCGGGAGGTCCCAGAGTGGAACACGTACATACAGTGGTAGAAACCTCGCTTATGGATCTCTGTAGGTGTTCGGACCAACAGATACCAAGGCAGAGAGAAGATGACTGCAGTTACCCACACGGCTATCAACAACTGAGTCGCTTTCTGGCGCCCTATTTTGGCCTGTGGCTGCCTGACTATGGTGTAGTACCTGTCAAAGGAGATCAAAGTCATAGTCAGGGTGGAGATGATCCCAAAGCAGGTGTTGAAAAAGCCGCTGGCCACGCAGAAACGCTCCCCGAACATCCAGGCGCCATCCTTGCTGAAGAGCATGACGAAGGAGAGCGGCAGACACAGGACGGCGGTGAGGAAGTCGGACAGCGACAGCGACATGATGAAGGCGTTGGTCACAGTCCGGAGCTGTCGGTGCTTGATGATGACGACGACGACCGCGGAGTTGCCGAGGCTGGAGAGGAGGAAGATGGAGAGGAGCACCAGGGCCTGGGTGGCCACCGCGATGCCCTGCAGGACAGAGTTGCTCTCGGCGGCGCTCAGCACCGACGGGGTGGACGCCTGGTGGAATAGACTGAGCTCGCTGACTCTTTGGTCTCCGAAAGTCGACAGGTTTCCTGTGTTCCCTACTGTGACCTCTGTGGTGACGGTCACTAGGCTGGTCACTATGGAAACAACCCTAAAGAAACAACAACAGAAAAGACAGAAAGAGGTAGAAATCATTGTACATAATCTGGACACAGCACCTCATGCATAATTTTTTGATACTAGTAGGGTAGAGTATTTGACTTTTGGTACCAACACCAAAACAATATTGCATTCGCTACTTTCCTTTGTGAAATATACATGGTTTTCAGCAAAAACAAAGGAAGTTTTCAAATTGAGAATGGTCAAAAAGCACAGCACAGCAACTTGGTTAAAACTAAATAAAAAAATTAATAATGATTTAAATCATTCCACCATGCTCGAAACATTTTTGCTCGCTTTGATTGGCTGCCTGGGCAAAGTGGGACATTTACGTGTTGCGACTCCACTCCTGGAGCTGAAAAGTTGAGAATATTTGAACTTTTATGCGGATCTAAAAAGTGTAGAATAACGTGACGAGAGGCACAAAGAGAGCAGCGGCTCAACTACTTTCAAAAAAGTTCTCATTCAACAGCTAAACAGTACAGTGAAATATGTTTCTGAAGACATTTGAGGTGAGAGTTGTTTTCCTTTGGCCGCCGTGGAATCTTACAAATGCCATTAAGAACACTAAGAGGAGGCAGAAAACCACAGATTATCTGTCTCATGTATTACTGTCAGGATATAGTAACAGTTTGAGCAAATATGACAAACGGTTATATTTTATTAAAGTTACGAACTGCGGTTTTAAGTCGTAACTAGCTCCTTATTACAGGACCAAAGCATTTCAAACCCTGAATTGCTTGTTCAGAAAAAAATTAAAAGTTAATTTATTTGTATTTGTTCACTGCAAACCAATTCGTGGAGGTACACCTTGCGTCCAGTCTGAAATGAAATGTGCAGGAATAGAAAAAGTGTGGCTGGAAAAGGGCAGGCTCCTTCAAAATAAAATATTGAGAACGGAGGTTATTATGTCTTCCCACATCACTGGTAATACCTCACCACTGTAAATAATGCAATAAATTTGGTATTACTTCTGATTTCCACACAGCTTTGGGGCCCCGTGTTCTGGAACATGCCACAGATTAGAGATGTTTATTGTTTCAAGTCCTGAGGGAGTTCTTTTCAGGAATTTGTAACCACACCAGTGGTGCCGATATCAGATTTTTTCTTAAAGGCCGTCAGTCGACTCTACGTTACAAATATGAAATCGATTCCCCATGCTATCTGTATGCTGAAATGAGCTTTCTCTATTTCGACAGATAAATATATGTTTGCGTCACCTATAGCTCCAGGAAAAAGGATGGCGCAGGAATTCCTTCTAAAAGGTTGAGTGGAATTTGTTGATAACTTGCTTACCTCAAGCAATTCTACCACTCACACGCAAATGTGCACAGTGCAATATGAAGTTTGCACAGTGCAATATGAAGTTTGCACAGTGCAATATGAAGTTTGCACAGTGCAATATCAAGTTTGCACAGTGCAATATCAAGTTTGCACAGTGCAATATCAAGTTTGCACAGTGCAATATCAAGTTTGCACAGTGCAATATGAATTTCAAAGCAGAGAGGAAAGTGGTTGGACAGAGTGAGCTACCTTGGCACAGCAGGTGAGGGAGTGTCCAGCTGGTTGGTGAAGCTCGGACCGGAGGGGTCAGCCGTGTAGTTGCTGGTGCCGCTGCCCTGCAGGGCCGTGCCAACGGGCGAATCCATCGACGAAGTGCGAACACAGCACGAGAGTCATCTATTCAGATCACAGTCAGTCCGATGGTTTCATGGAATCAAACATAGCTGCCGACAACTCCTCCTCATCCATTAGTAGTTTTTCTATTTTCATTATCTCCAAATTCATCAACGGGAGAAGGGAAAAGACAAGGGGACGTCAAATCTGTGTTCATGGGCTTGTTGGAATTATCTCTCAGTGAAATATCTAGGATTTTTAAAAGTAAATAATGGCAGTAAAGAAAATGTGTAGATTAAAATATAGTATAACACCTGAGCCCTATTTGTATATACACATATGATGGATACCAATATTTTACACCACTGTTGAAAACACACAGTTGCTCCGTGAGTAATTACATGTAAAGTCAATTATGCCTCATTGTTGTTGCAGCTACTGGCTCTGCATTTTGAAGGCCACAAAGCTCCCCAGGGCCCTTCTTCTATAGAAGGATTAAGAGGACATGGACTGATGCCGCACCTGATCCCATCATAAAAAGTGTACAGATGGAGCCACTTCAGGGGAGATTAATATCTAGAATTTATAACTCTGATATGATTTCAGTGTTTGTTCGTCAAAGTTTTAAGATGCTTTTTTTTTTTGCTTTATTTGTAATTTACATTTAGAGGTTCAACATGTAAGTTCCATTTACATATACACTTGCCAATTTAGATGACATATTGGGCCAAAATATGTGCTTCACTTCATCATTTTGATTGTTAGCTGTCAGATGACATTGATTTAAAAATGTTGCCATATTATGATATATTAAACAGCATTTACCACTGCATAGTAGTTGATACAAGTATTAATAATACTGTCATGCTGTCACAGTGGGGCTATTTATCCTACTACAGTCTGACAATATACTAAAACCCTTTTACAAGGTAATTCACATTTGCAGGTTTAAAGATTTAAAGGTTTAGCATAATGTTACCAAAACAAAGGCCCCAAAAAAACTCAGTTTCCTCAGTTCAATAACTCACCCAGAAATTAGCTGTTTGTTTACATTCCGTAAAAATAAAAGACCAAAGTCGTATTGACATTTTGTTAAAAGCACGTTTGCTAATATTTGCATGAATGCCCGTTATTCGGCAGTGACGTGTTCCCTGTGGTCCCGTGTCGTTACCTCAGACTGATTTAGTTACAATGTGTCCACAGTGACCTCCACACAGACGAGCTCGTTCATCAGTCGCGTGGTCCGGACGAGCATTTGTGTTCGATAGAGCGCGAGCGTTTCCTCTGAATGCGTTCTAGAGAGTCACAGCAGGCTGCGTACACAAACAAAAAACACGGTGTATATATTCACAACTCCGTGTCGTTAATGGCAGCTCTTAAGAATGTGGCCTTTTGAAAAACCGCTTCGTAGAGAAGAAAGTCAGTCCATTTATTTTTCTTTGTTTTCCTCAGCTGCTTCAACAACGCTGGAAGAGAAAAGAAAACATGGTCGGAGAGAACGCAGCTCCCACCCTGTTGATTTATGTACGAGGAAAAACTATTACGATACTTCTTTATATCTCCATCATAACAGCTATGGAACCCAGACGAGACCAGCCTCAGAGATCCCAGGTGTGAACGCGAGCACGAGCACGAGCTCACCAACTCTCTCTCTCTCTCTCTCTCTCTCTCTCTTTCTCGCTCGCTCTCTCTGTCTGAGTGGAAGGAGTGCGGAGTTGACGGAGCGTGTTTGAGAGCGATAAATAGCGATTTTTCGATATTTTTCTTCAGTGGGTAATGGTGTATATGATAGTGTAGTGTAGTGTGTAGGGTTCACGGGGTTTGTGTGTACATTTAGGGGATTTTAGGGTCTTTGTTTGTGGGTGTTTGCAGTCAATCAGCGCGTGCTGGTCGGCGTGCTAAACGCCACCATGCGCCTGACCGAATTAACCGGCGCTTTTCGGGTGTTCAGTGGAAGAATGCAGCCTGGCAGTGGGGGAGCTTGTCTGCCACAGCTGCGTGAAGTCCGCAGCGCGGATGAACAATGCTGTGGTCGTTTTTTTAGATAGTGTAGAAACTGCGGAAGTGGTGTTGGAGTGCGGGATCGAGGTGGGCGATAATTTCCTACCCGTTTACTCTCTCAGCTCACCGGCAGTGAAAGTTACTGTGTCCAACGTTCCACCGTTTATTAGAAATGATGCAATAATCAGAGAGCTGTCCAAACACGGGAAGGTAGTGTCTCCGGTTAAGAGAGTGTCTTCTGGGTTTAAATCTCCTCTGTTAAAGCACGTGGTGTCTCACAGGAGACATTTATTCATGATCCCGAACAACAGGAGCAGGGAGGTCAACCTCGTGTTCAAAATCCCAGTAGAGGACTTTGACTATGTCATTTTTGCAAAGACTGATGACTTTAAATGTTTCAGTTGTGGAAAAGAAAGACATCAGAGTAGAGCTTGTCCTGAGAAAAACGGCTCTCATAAAGACCAGAACCAGAGAGGTACTGAGGAGGGCAGAGGGGACAAGCAGGACGAACAGGTGGGGTCCAAAAAGGGAGGGAAGAGAAGACAAGTGGGGCCCAGGAGGTGAGGGAAGAGGAGACAAGTGGGGCCCAGGAGGTGAGGGAAGAGGGGACAAGTGGATTACAGGAGGTGAGGGAGGAGGGGACAAGTGGGGTCCAAAAGGTGAGGGAGAGTACTGGAAGACAGGTGGAGACAGGTAGTGAGGTGGACATGGAGGGAGACGAGGAGCAGCTCAAAGCCCCTCAGCTGAAGAGGAAAAAGGAAGGAAACAGTGGAAACGCACAGGCCAAAAAAGTGTCAACGAAAGGAAGTAGGAGCAGCTGAGTGTGTGTGTCCAGTTTGGAGAAGGACTCCGAGTCCAGTCTGGAGGAGGACGCCGAGTCCAGTCTGGAGGACACTGCTGCTGACAGTGAGCTCTCTAAATACAGGGCTGGCAGCTAGGAGCTCTGAAGGCTACAGTGTGGAGGAAATAAAGAGTTATCTGCTGAGGAGTAAAAATGTAAAAAGAGATAAAGTGGAGGACTACTTCTCTGACAAAGAGAAGCTCTCCAACTCTGTCAGATCACATATGAGCAGTGAAGACAGAGGAGGTCTCACAGAGCAGGAAGGCTACAGACTGAAGAAAATAGTTCAGAAGATAAAGAAAGAGCTGAACAATGATGGAGTTAGTTGGCAATGTTTTTTTGTTTTTTCATGTTTTAAGAAAATAAAGGTTTCTAAAAATCAAATCAATCTCTGTGTCTCTCGCTCTCTCTTTCTTTGTCTCTCACTCTCTGTGTCTCTCTCTGTCTGTTTCTCTCTCTGTGTCTCTCTCTGTGTCTGCCTCTGTGTCCCTGTCTCTCCTCTGTCTCTCCCTACAATCCCTTGCTCTCACCCTCTCTCTGAACCCCCCCCAATATGAACACGCTCCCTGCTTCATGTGACGTTTGATGCAGTTGTCATGGTAACTGGTGATAGATTTTTTTGCGTCCCTTGTTAAATGGCATTACAAGGTGTTTGCAAAATATGCTGCTGAAAACTGTTACATCAACCCTCCGACACACTGGATGTATAGTCCATGTTTAGTGATTCTAATAGGTGACACGGGGACGTCTCGTCATCGCGCGTTTGTTGGACAGACAGGGTTGTGTTAAGGATGTGGAGAAGAAGAATCAGTTGAGCACGTACTTTTGAGTTGTAGTGAGTATGAGATGCAGAGAGAAAGGATGAGGAATAATCTGAGGGAATTAGGGGTGCATGAATGGTGATATGGTACAAGGGTGCTTGTCAGAACTAGGATTTTATAGGTCTAGAGGGTTAAACATGGAGGATAAAATATAGGTTAATGTGGTATGGGTGGGTTTTTTATTTATTTTGTATTATTTAATTGTTATTATTTTGTTTGTTTGTTTTGTTTTAGTTTGGGGAAAATATTGCAAGTCTACTGTCTGATCCACACTCCGGAGCAGAAGGTAGCGTTAATGCATCAATAAACTGGATGCCTACAACCGCCGTAAAACCAGAAGAAGAAGAAGAAGAAGAAATGGTTTCCTGTTTGTCTACCTCATTTTCGTCCGCATCCGGTTTGCGTATAAATTGTCTACCAGACGAAAATACGGTAGCACCGAGGCCAGACACCTTGTTTTAATCATTATTGGGCACATAATGGGTGAGTTATAGTACCTTTTAATTTTCATTTTTCATCCAATGATAGCTTGACGCCGTTAGTTTGACCGTAGCGGTAGCTCAACTAGCCGGAAACTAGCCTGTCAGCTAAAAACATCCCAATGCACTGACTATACCAGCCCAAATTATTCAGTAGGAGATATGCATTAAGTCAAGTAAACCAACGAGTGTGTTCATGACAGTTTATACACCGACAAGTAAACGCACTATTTTGTGCCAGTTGCGGACATTTGGCAACATTACAGTTGTATCCGGAACTAGCCTGTGGTTGTGTTGGTCGCGAGCTCACTTTCACATTATGCTTCGTTCCAGCAAACTATAACGTTCGTTTGAGGTAACTGATAGCTTAGCTGCCTTTAAATAACTAGATACCAATCGTATTAGCTGATATGGCAATACACTGAGACTTCTCCTGACTGTGGTGCATCAGTTAGTTAACTCCTCTCTCCGTCAGTGTATTGCCAGTGTTGGTGGAGTCTGACTGGTCAGAATGAATGGACAAGATGGAGGAAAAGAGCTTGACGTTGTTGTTGTTGAGATTTTTAGATGTTGCCTTCAGTTTAATAAAGACAATCTAATCTGGTGCTGCTAAACTGTTGTTTACCAGTGCCGACTGCTGTATACGGTGTTTGTTTGTCCTTGCAGCTGTGTCCATGAGTTCAACATGTCCAGGCACATACTGTGGCAGGTTGATGGTCAACGGATCAGTGGAGGGAGAGTGTGGTGTGAGTACTGACTATCAGGATGTGTGTCTGACTACTTCATGTGTGTCTGTCAATGCATCGATGCTATAAAAGAGACCCGGGATTGTTGTCGTTTTAGTGCAGATTTCAGGTCGGTATCCAGCCCTTCTGCTGCAGCAGGGCTTCTTAAATTAGTGGGGAAGTTATACTGGAATGTTCTGTAATCCAAGGTGTTTTGGATATTTTACCCCCCTCATGTATGTAAATAGGTGGAGAAAATATAACAAACACCATTCGATGTAATGCAGTCCAGTACAATCTCCCGTATGTTGCTATCGCATCTGTAATACTTTTGTTTAGAAGTGCTGCATTAAATGTAGACGTCAATATGCAACACACAAATACAGTAAAGTAAAGTCCAAAAAAAGATACATATGGTTCTATAACTTTAATTAATCGAACTGTGATGATGTGTTCAAATTCAAAATTGATGGCGATTAATTCACATTCAGGGGTCTTGCTCCCTGTGTGCCCTCATGTCTCTGGGGCTGCAAGAGTCGTCCAAACTGATCAAATCATCAGGAGCTCTCTGTCTCTCTCTCTCTCTCTCACTCATATATATGTATATATGTGTATATGTGTATGTATATATGTGTATATATATATATGTGTATATGTGTATGTATATGTGTATATGTGTATGTGTATATGTGTATGTATATATGTGTGTGTATGTATATATGTGTGTGTATGTATGTGTATGTATGTATGTGTGTGTATGTATGTGTATGTATATATATGTGTGTATGTGTGTGTATGTATATATATGTGTGTATGTATGTGTATGTATATATATGT